AGAGCCTTCAAGACCTCCTTTTGCTGGTGAGACATGACTCAAATTGAGAAGAAACAGCTGCAAATATCCACTGATAATAGGAACATGGAATGTATGAAGTATGAATCTAGGAAAACTGGAAGTTGTCAAAAATAAAATGGAATTCATAAAGATTGATATCCTAGGCATCACTGAGCTGAAATGGGTCAGTTTGAGCCATTCTGAATCACACAACAATATGATCTACTATGCCGGAAATGACAATTTGAAAAGGAACGCATGGAATTCATCATATAAAAGATGTTTCAAGATCTATCCTGAAGTACAATGCTGTCAGTGATAGGATAATATCCATATGCCTACAAGGAAGATGAGTTAATACTACTATTGCTCAAATGTATGCACCAACCACCAGAGCCAAATATGAGGAAACTGAAGATTTTTATCAACTTCTGCAGTCTGAAACTGACCAAACATGCAATCAAGATGTGTTAATTATCACTGGTGATTGGAAGTTGGAAACAAAGAAAAATCACTGGTAGTTGAGAAATTTGGCCCTGGTGACAGAAATAATGCTGGAGATGGCATGACAGAATTTTGCAAGACCAATGCCTTATTCATTGCAAATACCTTTTTCAACAACACAAGTGGTAGCTATACATATGGACTTCACCAGATGGAGTACACAGGAATCAGATTGACTACATCTCTGGCAAGAGGCGATAGAAAAACTCAATATCCTTAGCCAAAATAAGGCCAGGAGCTGACTGTGGAACAGACCATCAACTGCTCATATGCAAGTTCAAGTTGAAGTTGAAGACAATTAAAATAAGTCTATGAGAGCCAAAATATGACCTTGAATATGTTGTTGTTGTTGTTATGTGTCGTCGAGTTGGCCCCGACTCATAGCAACCCCTCCGTGGGTTTCCGAGGCAGTATTACTACAGAAGTAGGATTGCCCAACCTTCCTTCCGAGGAGTGGCTGGTGGGTTTGAACTGCCAGCCTTCTGGTTAGCAGTCAAGTGCCTTAGGCACGATGCTACCAGAGCTCCTTGAATACATCCCTCCTGAATTTAGAGGCCTTCTAAACAGCAGATTTGATGCACTGAACACCAATGACCCAAAACCAGAAAAATTGTGGGATGACATTAAAAGCATCATCCATGAAGAAAGCAAGAGGTCATTAAAAAGATGAGAAAGGAAGAAAAGGCTAAAATGGATGTCGTAAGAGACTCTGAAACTTGTCCTTGAGTGGAGAGTAGCTAAAGCAAATGGAAGAAATGACAAGATAAAGGAACTGAATAGAAGACTTCAAAGAGCAGCCAAGCACACAAAGCCAATTACTATAATGAAATGTGCAAAGACCTGGAGCTAGAAAAACAAAAGGGAAGAACACACTCAGCATTTCTCAAGCTGAAAGAACTGAGGAAAAAAATTAAGCCTCCAGTTGCAATACTGAAAGAGTCTATGGGCAAAATATTTAATGATGCAGGAAGCATTAAAAGAAGATGGAAGAAATACACAGAGTCACTGTACCAAAAAGAACTGGTCAATTTTCATTCATTTCAGGAGGTGGCATATGTTCAAGAACTAATGGCATTGAAGGCAGAAATTGAAGCTACACTGAAGCAATTTGCAAAGAACAAGGTTCCAGGAATTGACAGAATATCCATTGAGATGTTTCAACAAATGGATGCCCCACTGGGCATGGTTATGCCAAGAGATTTGGAAGACAGCTACCTGGCCAACTGACTGGAAGAGATCCGTATCTGTACCCATTCCAAAGAAAGGTGATCCCACAGAATGTGCATATTATCGAACAGTATCATTAATTTTGCATGCAAGTAAAATCTTACTGAAGATAATTCAAAAACAGTTGCAGCAGTATATTGACAGAGAACTTCCAGAAATACAAGCTGGTTTCAGGAGAGGACATGGAACGAGGGATATCACTGCTGATGTCAGATGGATCATCAGAAATATGTTTGTGTTTTACTGACTATGCAAAAGCATTTGATTGTGCGGATCATAACAAATTATGGATAACATTGAGAAGAATGGGAATTCCAGAACACTTCATTGTACTCATGAGGAACCTGTACATAAACCAGGAGGCTGTCGTTCAAACAGAACAAGGGGACACTGCATGGTTTAAAATCAAGAAGGGAATGTGTCAGGGTTGTATCCTTTCATCATACTTGTTCAATCTGTATGCTGAGCAGATAATCTGAGAAGCTAACTATATAAAGAAGAACGTGGCATCAGGAGTGGAGGAAGAATCATGAACAACCTGCAATATGCTGATGACAAAACTTCACTTGCTGAAAGTGAGGATGACTTAAGGCACTTACTTATGAAGACTAAAAAATATAGTCTACAGTATGGATTACACCTCTATAAAGAAAACATAAATCCTCACAACTCTATCAAGAAGCAGCATCATGACAAACGGAGAAAGATTGAAGTTGTGAAAGATTCACATTGCTTAGTTCTACAATCAATGCCAGCGGAAGCAGCAGTCAGGACACCAGATGATGTATATCACTGGGCAAATCGGCTGCCATGGACCTCTTTCAAGTGCTGAAGAGCAAAGATGTCTCCTCGAGGCACCTAACCCAAGCCACAGTATTTTCAATTGCCTCATATGTATGTGAGAGATGGACAATGAATAAGGAAGACCGAAGAAGAGTTGATGCTTTGGAGTTGTGGTGCTGGTGAAGAATGTTGAAAATGCCATGGACTGCGAAAAGATCTAACAAGTCTGTCCTGGAGGAAGTGCAGCTGGAATGCTCCTTGGAAGTGAGAATGGCCAGACTTCGTCTTACCTACATTGTTCATGTTGTCAGAAGGGACCATTCCTGGAGAAGGTGGAGGGTTCACAAAAGAGGGGAAGGCCCCCAATGAGATGGATTGACATAGTGGCTGCAGCGATGGGCTCAAGTATAGCAAGGATCATGGAGCTGGCGTGGGACTGGGCAGTGTTTCGTTCTGCTGTGCATAGGGTCTGTGAGTCAGAGACAACACAACAGCACCTAACAACAACATGCTAGCCGCAAAGGAGACAAGTTAATCCACTGCATGTAATGCCTGCCTCAAGACAGTAATTTTCAAAGTGTGATCCCTGGATCATCAGCATCATTTAAGGACTTGGTAGAAATGCAAATTCCTAGGCCTCACCCCAAACTTTCTGAATCAGATATCTGGAGGTGGAGCCTAAGAATTTTTTTCCCCCAAGTTCTTCAAGTGATTCTGATTTTAAAGTTTACCTTAACTTGTTAGGACTTAATTCTGTCCCAGAAGCAAATAAGAAAGGTTGGTTTACTATACGTGAATGTATAGGTAATACTGACATAGTATTTATTGATGTCTATGCCTTGGAAACCCAAGGAGGGGTCGCTATGAGTCAGATCCAACTCGATGGCAGTGGGTTTGGTTTTGGGTTTATTATATTTTAAATCTCTACAATTAGTTCTACACACAAGGTCTTTATGGTTGGAATAGTCTTTTTTATTCTATAGATGAAATTATATCAGTATTAAAATGAACTCTTTTGATGTGAAATAAAAAAAATTACTAAAAATACCAATTTGCATACTATACTGTATTTTTATTAACTTTTAGTCAAACTATAACTCTACAAGCAAATTGACTTATCTGTACCAAAATGTTAAAAATGATCCACTTGTGGATCATATAATCCACTAGATTTGTATTTATAAAATTCAAACTCAAATGATGCTCTTCAGAAATACAAAATTAAATAATTTAAAAACATCCATGTGTATAATTAACAAGCCTATAGAAATCACAGGAAATATTAACTGGAAGAAAAACCTGTAGAAAATATTTTATTTATTTCTTGGCATGCTGTTTAGAAAACTTCATTCTTGTGAAACGTTTTACAACATATATATTTTTATAACTTTGATTTGACTGATCCATATTACTATCTAAAAATAGAACCTTGTAAAAGTTGGCATCTCGTAAAAGTCACTTTTCTGGAGCTTACAATCTTGCTGAGGAACAATTCATGTCAAAAACATTTCTAAAACTGTAAGATGAATCCAAAAATCAAATCAATACTTTTAGAAATATTTCAGATCATAGTGAACATCAGACAATGGTAGTTTTGTCTTAGTATGTACATTCAAAATGAGAAAGAGCTATTCATGTTTCAGACTATTTTAAGAAACACAGCTGAACCACAGAAGCTCATCACCTTAAATTATTTTAAATATACAATAGAAAAATTCCATTCCAAAAGAACTCTAACTCAGAAATTGAGTCCTTTCATAAAATGATACTTTTGTTCTAAAAAAATTCTCAAGGCAGATTTTGATAAATACTTGTAATTAAAATGATCAGATTTTATTTATAAACAGCACATATTATTATCAGCAGAATTTTTAATTAATATGAAAGAATAAAATTAAAAGAACTCTTCTGTTTTCTCATTTATCTGTACTGTACTGTTCCTCAAAATACTCAACTAACAACCAAAATGAGGGTGGAGTCAACTTAAAAACAGTTAAGGAAATAGAAAGGTAACAGCTATTAGTACTGGCACTAAGAGTAGAAAAAGACAATCAAGAGTAACTAAACCAAAAAACTCACTGCTACTGAGTCAATTTAAACCCTATAGTGACCTTATAGAACTGAGTAGAACTGCCCTATGGAGTTTCCAAAGCTGTAAATCTTTACGGAAGTAGATTGCCTCATCTTTCTCCTGCAGAGTGGCTAGTGGGTTCAGAACACTGACCTGTTGGTTAGTAGCTGAAAACCTGAATCACTGCACCTACAGAGCTCCTATGTAAAAGTCATAACATATATTTATCTAGAACTTAAGATTTTATGAAAGCTCTTCTTCATAATATCTATGGGGTGACTAGGACAATTATTACCCACACTTTTGAAGATGAAGAACTTAAAGCTCAGAATTATGGTACAATTTTAAGTCATAACTAGAAAAGTTTCTATCATAATTTAAATCATCTACTGCCAACATTCCTTAATTTTAATTTTTAAAGTTGTAGAAACATGAACATATTAACTGACCAACTATCTTATATAAATAAATGGTTAGTATGGAGTTATCATTTAGCAATCTATTGGTATAAAATTATTCTATGGTATAAAAGAAAATCCCCACATACTAAAGTTATTTAAGTAATAGAAATAAATCACTAGTAATGTAAGGATGTATTTACCTGTTATAGAAGTAAGACCCATGCAAGTGGCTGCTATTGTCACTCCCAAGACTGCTGCAGTATCCTCCAATAATATAACGTTTGTACTAGGATCACGACTTTCCATTACTAATCATTGAGAGAGGGGAGAGCAAGAAAATAAATTTTCTGAAATCTTCAGTTGATAGTATATGGCGATAGATATATCAGCAAGTATACATTTGAAATAAAAACATAAATAAAACATAAAATCATGATTTAAAAATTAACTTTCAATATAAATATAATAACTTCTCAGCTTAAATGGCAATAATAACTAATACTTAAAATCCAATTACTTTCTCAAGTTATATAAGCATATACATCAACACTAGTACATTTAAGTCAATTTCAAATAAAAAAGTATTCATGTTCACATTACACTATATTTCTCTTTTTAAAAGAATTCACTGCCATCAAGTAGGATCCAACGCACAGTGAGCCCTCGCTAGGTTTCTGAGGCGGTATCACTACAGAAGTAGATTGCCCAGATTTTCCTTCTGAGGTGTGGCTGGTGGGTTTGAACCTCCAGCCTTCTGGTTAGCAGTCAAATGCCATAGGCACTATGCCACCAGAGCTCCTAAAAGATACTGCAGTATATTTCATACACATCCATAAACAACAAAGCAGTGAGGTGGGGTAAATTTAAGCAAATAAAGGAGATGAAATAATACAAGTGCTTTTGAAAATACGTACCATACTTGTAAAATGACATTCCCTTCGCCCGAGCACTCCGACGAAGTTCATTTACAGCAACAAGAAGTGTTGCTAAAAGAAGAGCATTCACGTCAGCAATGCTTAAACTTCATGCCTCCAAACTTTAAAAGATAGCATCTCAAAAGCTAAATAAGCCCAACATGTTAATGCCAGGATTGACAATGAAGAATTCTGTATTTACCAGCTATTCTCAAGACCCCAATTCATCATTCATTAGAAGAATCCCAGTATTTTGAAACCACAATGATCTAAATATAGTCACCACGACAGTCATGATTTATTGAACAGCTACTATTTGGCATGCACCATACTAAGCACATTCTCTTTTAATCTTCCCAACCTTTTGAGGCAGAGGGTGTTAATGCCATTTTATAAATGCTCAAAGATGAAGGCAAAACTATGCACACAAAAGATAACAATGTTTCAGGGGTAAACATACTGAGCACATCAATGAATTTACTGTTGTTGTTAGGTACCATATCAAGTTGGCTCCAACTCACAGTGACCCTACGTACAACAGAACAAAACACTGCCCCATCCTGCACCAGCATTACAATCCTTGCTATACCTGAGCGCAGCACTGCAGCCACTGTGCCAATCCATCTCATTGAGGGCCTTCCCCTTTTACGCTGGCCCTCCAGTTTACCAAGTATTCTTCACCAGCACCACAACTGAAAAGCATCAACTCTTCTCAGTTTTTTTCATTCGTTGCCCAGCTTTGACATGCATATAAGGCGACTGAAAATACCATGGCTTGGGTTAGGTGCACCGTAGACATCTTTGCTCTTCAGTACTTTAAAGAGATCTGTTGAAGCAGATTTGCCTACTGAACACATCATCTAATTTTCTGTTACTTCCATTGGTGTTGATTGTGGATCCAAGTTATAAGAAATCCTTAACAACTTCAATCTTTTCTCCATTTATCCTGCTGCTGCTTATGGGTCCAGTTATAAAGATTTTTGTTTTCTTTATGTTGAGGTATAATCCATACTTCAGACTGTAATTTTTGATCTCCATCAGTATGGGCTTCAAGTCATTTTCATTTTGAGTCAGCAAGATTGTGTTATCTGCATACTGTAGGTTATTAATGAGTCTTCCTCCAATCCTGATGCTGTATTCTTCATATAGCCCAGCTTCTTGGATTATTAGTCAGCCTACAGACTGAGTAAGTATGGTGAAATGATACACCCCTGATGCATTTCCTTCCTGATTTTAAACGATGCAGTATCCCCTTGCTCTCTTTGAACTACCACCTCCTGGTCTACATACAAGTTCCTCATGAGTAGAATTAAGTGTTCTGGAAATCCCATTCTTCTCAATATTATCCATAATTTGTTGTGATCTACATATAAAAATGCCTTTGCATAGTCAATAAAACACAAGTAAACACCTGTCTGGTATTCTCTGCTTTCAGCCAAGATCTATGATAACCCTCATTCCTTGTCCTCTTCTGAATCCAGCTCGCATTTCTGGACACTCTGTCAATATACTGCTGCAACCATTTTTTAATTATATTCAGCAAAAGTTCACTTGCATGTGGTAGTAGTGAAACTGTTCAATAATTTCCACAATCCGTTGGATCACCTTTCCTTGGAATGGGTATAAATATGGATTTCTTCCAGTCCGTTGGCCAGGTAGCTATCTTCCAAATCTCTTGGCATAACTAAGTGAGTGCCTCTAAAGCAGCATCCATTTGTTGAAACATCTCAGTGGGTATACCATCAATTCCTGTTGCCTTGTTTTTACCAGTTCCTTCCGTTGCAGCTTTGACTTCTTCCTTCAATACCATTGCTTCTTGATCATATGCCACTTCCTGAAATGGATGAACATCAATCAATTCTTTTTAGTACAGAGATTTTGTGTATTCCTTCCATCTTCTTTTAATGTTTCCTGCATCATTCAATATTTTGTCCATAGAATCTTTCAATATTGCAACTTGTGGCTTGATTTTTTCCTTCAATTCTTTTAGCTTGAGAAATACTAAGCACTTTCTTCCCTTCTGGTTTTCTAACTCCAGATCTTTGCACATTTCTCTATAATAATTTACTGTTGCCGAAGGGCCAGGGAGGCTGCATCTTCTGACCTCCTTTCTAACCCCACAAGAGGAAGACAGAATCACCATCAGTAGCCCAAGGCCTATCCTTGCAAAGCCACACATGCCACCTCCCTCCAGCCCTTTCACCAACCGACACCAATCGTTTCTCCTGCAGCATCCAACCCCTCTCTGGGTTTGATAATTCTCTGCAGTGGCCATGCAGAGCTCACAGATTATGGGGTTTAATAGGGAAGCACCAGGCTACAATTCAAGTTCAGGAACACACTCAGTCTGTCTCAGCCCGCTGTCTCTCAGCCGACAAGTCTCTCTCAGTCTCCCTCCCAGCAATGCATGTCTCTTGCTGTCTCTCTCCTAGCAGTGTGTGTCTCTCAGCAGCATGTGTCTCTCATGTCTCTCTCAGCAATGTGTGTCTCTCACATCTCTCAGGTGGCAGTGAGAGATTTTTTTCATGCCTCTAGGAGTGGCCAAACTAACCAATCCCAACATTAGAATTCTATACACCTGAGAGGGAGTGAACTTCCCAGAAAATTACTTTGTGCTGCTCCCAACAGAAATATCCCAGGTGGATAACTTTAACAATCAGGAGCTACTCATTTGCTCACGGCAGATTACACCAGAGTTTACAAAAACTTATGGCTAGGAAAGCCACACTATGTAATTTACCACACCACATATGTCTTCTAGAGCTGCTCTTTTATATGTATTCAGCTCTTTTATCTTGTCATTTCTTCCATTTTAGCTACTCTCCATTTAAGAGCAAGTTTAAGAGTCTCTTCTGATATCCATTTTGGTCTTTTCTTCCTTTCCTGCCTTTTTCTATTTTTACTTTTATTGCAGTAAAAACATGTACAAGACGACATTCATCAACAAAACAACTTCCTCATTTACAGCTCAGGGACACTGATGACATTTTTCATGTTGTGCCACAATTATTGCTATCCTTTTCCAAAGTATCCCACTACTATTAGCATAAACTCAATGCCCCATAAACAAAAGCTTCCCCTTTCCCCTCATACCCCTGGTAACCACTAATAATCTTTGGGGTGTATGTGTGTATACATATGTACGTACGTACATACATACATACATACATATCATTGCCACTGAGTTGTTCCCAACTCACAGTGACCCCCTCCTTGGTTTCCGAGGCAATATCTCTACAGAAGCAGTTTGTCCAATTTTCCTTCCGAGGAGCGGCTGGTGGGTTTGAACCACCAGCCTTCTGGTTAGCAGTCAAAGTTTTAGGCATTTAGCCACCAGAGCTCTCTCTCTCTATAT